ATAGAAATTTTTTGATATTTGCAACCATAGTAAAACAAAGACTTATATTTTTGATATTTATTTTATATATTTAAATGCCATTTAAAAAAGAAAAATCAACCAAAAAAATGAACTCGCGTGTCACCTCTGACACGCGTGTCATAGGTTTGCCATCACTGCTCTAGCTCCACTCCTGCCACCCTAATATGAGCCACTATCATATCTTACTAAACCACCGCATTAGCTTCCTAACTAGTTCTTGTTTTCTTGCTTGTCCCCTACATCAGGTTTTCTCAATATCACACCATTGATATATTGGGCTAAGTAATTCTTTGTTTGGTGTATATAGTGGGGAGGGGCTGTCTCATGAACTGTAGGATGTTTAGCAGCATCCCTTGCCTCCAACCACCAGATGCCAGTAGCAAAACTCTCCCCCATCCCCTGCCCAAACTGTGACAAACAAAAATGTCTTTAGACATTGTGAGGGGACAGAACCACCCCCCCAGCTGAGAACCACGGTCCTGCATCCTACACACAGAAGGCAGGATATTTTAAAAATATAAATTGCATCATGTCACTCTTGGGCTGAAAACCCTCCAACGTCTCTCCACTGACCTTACAGTAAAACCCCTCCTTGCCTGGCTTACAAGACCTCTATGAACTGGTTCCTGCCTACTTCTCTAACATCCTCTCTTCCCTACCATGACTCTCCCTAGTTAAACTCCAGCCACATGGGTTTTTCTGGTCCTTAAACATTCCAAGCTTGCACCCATCCACTCTTTGCACTTGCTGTTCCCTCTGCCTAGAATACACCCTTTCCAGATCTTTGCATGGCTCACTGTTCTTGCACAGAAATCTCAGCTCCAATGGTGCTTAGTCAGCGAGGCCATCCCTGACCATCCTATCTGAAGAGCCCACTGACCTCCATTCTCTACCACATTGCTGGTTCACTTCCTCCATGGTGCTACTCACAACAGGGAACTGTCCTGTTCTCCTGGAGAGCCAGGCCCTGTCTATCTGGCCCTCTGCTATAGCTCTAGTGCTAGAATACCATCCGGGATAGAGTAGGTACTCAAAATGTCCGCCCCTCCACCTCCTCATATCTCAGGTCAAGTTTCCGTTCTAAGATTATCCTCTGCACACATCCCAACGAAGGATCGAACTGGCAACCTGGGCATGTGCCCTGACTGGGGATCGAACCAGAGACCCTTTGATGCTCAACCCACTGAGTCACACCAGCCAAGGCTCTAAGACAGCGGTTCTCAACTTGTGGGTCGCGTGAAAATACATCCTGCATATCAGATATGTATATTATGATTTATAACAGTAGCAAAATGTTTAATCCCATTAACATTTTAACGCAGTATTCATATAGGGGAAGACACAGTTATTACCACGTACCCCAGTGGTCACCGTCAAAATCTCTACATAGTGGCTCACAAGTGGTAAATGTCCGTTCCCAGTTATGAAGTGGCAACGGAAACAATTTTATGGTTGGGGGTCGCCACAACATAAGGAACTGTATTAAAGGGTCGTGACATTAGGAAGGTTGAGAACCACTGCTCTAAGATACTTCTTTTTTTTAAATAAAATATCTCACTTTGTTAATTTTAATTTAATTGGCTTCAGAAAGGGAGGGAGAGGGAGAGATAGAAACAATTCTTTTTTTTTTTAAAGAAAATCTTACTTTGTTAATTTTAATTTAATTGGCTTCTGAAAGGGAGGGAGAGGGAGAGATAGAAACATCAATGAGAGAGAATCATTGATCAGCTGCCTCCTGCACGCCCCCTACTGGAGATCGAGCCTGCAACCCACGCATGTGCTCCTGGACTGGAATCCAACCCAGGATCCACCCGTCTACAGGCCAATGCTTTAGCCATTGAGCCAGACCAGCTAGGGCTCTAAGATTATTCTTGATAGGTGACCTTCATTTCTAACTATACTAGAACTATGTTAAAAAGTACAGCTGGGGTTACCATGTACAGGGCTTAATACAAAAAAACAAACCCAAAACCTGCTTATTTTGAAACAAACAAAGGCCAATTACCGAATGAGTGAAAGCCTGTTCCACGCCCCTCGGGTTTTTAGCAGGCATATAATCATCCTACTGGCATCATTTCTGGGTGCATCCTGTCCCTAGGCAGTGAAGGGACTATGAATCTCAAACTCACCTGGTTCAGAGGTTCAAACAGCCTCTTATCCATCAACTCAATTTATACAGGAGAATGGGCCTGGACACTTGTGCTGGCTTCCAGTTAAAACAATTGTCTGGGTCAAAGACAGGAAGGTCCAAGGTGCAGCGTGGGCAATAAATGTTGGCTGAGTCTGGAAACTGCAGATTGGCCTTTCTCGGGCTGATGTACAGGCGGTTGCTCTGATCGGTCCACCTGGCTGCTTGGTGGCTGCAAACTGGAGGCAATGTGGTCCTGGCCGAGGGCCATGGCCCTTCCGTGGCCTTTGGGAAGTGTTTCATCGGGACATTTTTACATTCTGGCTGGCTGCCGTCTTGTCCCTCCGGGGAGGGCTCTCCACGCGGTGCAGAGACGTCTCCACGCGCAAGGACGAGGCCCTGACGTGACGGGAGGACGTTTCTGTGCGCTGCGAGGAGGTTTCCACGTGCTGGGAGGACACCTCGAGGATGCGAGGAAGCCGCTTCCCAGAGGGGACCTGGGAGGTCTCCACCTGCCGGGAAGACGTGTGCACCCGCCGGGAGGAGGTTTCCACGCGGTGGGACGAGGTCTCCAAGCGGACTGTCGATGTCTCCTTGTAGCGGGTGGTTTCCACCAGGGGCGAAGCGGTCTTTCCCCGAAGGGGTGAGGCCATTCTACGGGTGGAAAGGGGGTGGGAGGCCACGAGACCTCGGGAGGCCCCACAGCCTAACACTCCCCGAGAGTCTCGCCCCTGGGTTACATCACAAGGGAAGGGATGATGTCACAATGGCGTGTCACGTCACCGCAGGCACAAGGGTGGACGAGAGTGCCCAACACCATGGCATGCAGGCACCGGGTTCTGTCGGGCTTTTCTCTCCCTTGCAAATACCGGGCCCTGCCCCGCGGCGCTCCGTGGGCCCGCCACCGCGCCCTCGCCTTTAGGGGGTCCGCGCACGCGTGTCAGAGGC